ATCGGCTCAGGGGGGGATGCATCGACCCGCAAAACACTCCTTCATCGCCGATAGCGGTTCGAGGGCCCACCCTGCTCGTGACCGTGCGGATTGTCGATCTCTCTCGTCGATGTATCGTCGATTTCGGGTCGATGTCCCCATCCTTCTTCTTCTTCTTCTGCTTCTTTTTCTTCTTCTTCTTCTTCTGCTTCTCCTCCTTCTTCTTCTCCTCCTCCTCCTCCTCCTCCTCCTCCTCCTCCTATCCCTCCTCCCCCTCCTCCTCCTCCCCCCGGGCTGGCCCCTCCCCCCCATAGTTGCACCTCAGGGGAGTGGGAGGAGGAGGGGGGAGGAGGACCCAGGCATACTCGCGTCGTGAAGGAGGACCCAGACAGAACGAGTGTTTGTTTTGATGTTTTGTTGTTGTTTTACCGTTTGTGCCCTCAGAGGGGCCCTAGACAGGCCTTGAGGCCGTCTAGGAACGATCCAGGATTCAAAACCGTTCTGGGGGTTGGGACGCCCGGGGACCGCGTATTAGAACAATCAAGGCATCGAATGTCTGCGGAGGGAGGAGGGGGAGTGGGGGGGACAAGCTAAGTGCGTTCGCATCATATCTGACGTCCTACCCCTCCATCCCATCCTTCACCATTGCTTAGATATCCTCTCTATTCGCACAGTCGGATGTCGAGCAGGGCAATGATCGCGAGAGGGTTTGCGATGCTTGGTAGAGCACGGCATGGCATCGCGCAGAAGAGCACGGCAGAGCGTAGCATGCCATAGCATGGCGTGGCATTGCGCAGTGAAGCATGGCATCACAAAACATTGCAACGAAAAGCATGGCATCGCACAGCGGCGCAGAACACAACACTGCACAGCATGTCACGGCATGGCGCTGGGTTTCCTTGGAGGGTAAGTGGATCGTCTTCGACTCCCCGAAACGCCCCACACCAGGCGGGGCTGATGGAGAGCACCCGCTGGCTCTGCTTTCAGCACCGCTTTCTCCAAGCAGAAGCGGGGCACCCGCTTGATACTTCCTGAAAACGACGACGATCCCAAGTGGCGGGGCTTCTACGACCCAGAAAATTAACGAATTGATGCCGAATGTGGAATAACTTCTGATGGTCTCGGTAGGCAATTTTTTTGAATTTTGGGGCCCATTGGAAGGACCGAAAACGCCCGCGCTGCAGCGGGAGCAGGATTTGGAACAACCAGAGGCGCAGAAATGAGGCTAGCGCTTCAGCGGGAGCAACGTTTTGAAAACAAGGCCAAGCGAAAACCAACTTCTGGGAATCCTGTGTGTGTAAAATATAGCGCGCGGCGGGAAACACTAACAGTACGCGGAGGGGGGCCGGACATCGTCCCGACGTCATCAGGGGAGAGAGGAGAGTAGTAATCATATTGTGTAATTGTGGAGGAAGGAGGACAAGAGGAGGAGGGGGAGGAGGCCTTCGAGTGGATGGCCGCCGGTGGCCCCCCAGAGCCTCTCGATGTCGAACGGCCTGCGCTGTCGGACAGCCGCGGCAGTTCCACGACCCCCGCGGCGCTGGAAAAACCGACGCCGACGTCGTCGCGGCGACCAGCCGCGGCACCCGCTCCTTCGGGATCGCGGTCCCCGGCAGCGGCGGCGGCCCCTCTCCAGGGGGCGGCGCGGGGGGCGCGAGGGTGCCCGTGCCTCGACCGGCGCGGAGCGCCGGGCTCGGCGACCTGCGGGCCGCCCGTGCCACGAGTCAGTGCGAGCGCAGCCAGCGGAGAGCGCAGCCAGTCGTCGTCGCGGGCCCGCACCTGGCATCGCTCGGACGTGTGCATTTTTCCTTCGGCGAGGCCCATCGAGGAGCATCCTTGACCACTTGCCGAAAAAGCCACGCACGAAACCAAAAAAAGCACAGGGAATGGACGTCCGAGCGATGGCGAACGCAGGCGAAGAGGCTGGACGCGCTGCACGAGGAGATCTCCAAAGACATCGAGGACACTCTGCGTCGGAGCGTGCTTGGGATGGCCTGCGCACTCCGTGAGTGTGCTGCGGTGGCGCGCTCGCGCTCCTGGCCCGGCCTGGATGTGCCGACCTCTGCGTGGCGCGTTGGGGCGAGGTCTCGCCATGTGGGGCCCATCCATCAGAGCGTGAATTACCTACCCCGCTTTCGCTTTTAGGCAAAACCAAGTCATACCACGCGCCTCCTCGTCAAGCGGCCTGACCAGTACAGGCCGTAGTTTGGCATCGCTTGGTATCTCTTGGAAGCGAGGGTGGTCAAAAGCGAGGTAGGTTTGTGTTCCCCCTAATCCAGGAGTTCGCACGTGCAAGCACCGTGTGCTCGTGTCTCAACGCGCCAGTGCTAAGTGGGCCCTGGAAACGACAGGGCCGCTTTTTGTTACCGGTTCCGTTCTGCCGTTTCTGTTGGCCGGTTCCGACGCCGTTTTTGTTACCGGTTCCGTCGCCGTCGTTTGACCGGTTCCGGCTCTGGTTCCAATCCTGGAGCGTTTTTTGCCGTTTCCGGTCGCCGTTTTTTTGCCGTTTCCATTTTCAAAGGACATTTTTTGGGAAACGGTGAAGAAACGGCCCTACCGTTTCCGGGGCCCACAAAGCGCTAGCGATCTTCGGTCTCCCTTGCCAGCACAGGTTTCCAGCCCAGCGGGCGAGCAGCGATCCCCTCCTGCCCGACGAGCGAGCAGACCGCGTAAACACAAACTGTCGACGGTCCGCACGGACCATGTATCCGCGCTTGGCCCCCGTGGAATGGGTCGAGACCTCTGGGGACCCCGTGTTGAAACAATCACGACATCGGATCTTGGGGTTGTAGCGCGAATCCAAGACACCCGCGCGGACCCTCGAATGATGATGTATTGCAGTTCGTTGTCCCTCACCGGAGAGAGCAAGAATGTGCATCGCACGCTTTTGCCTCCGTCGCACGATCTGCTCCTTCCGAAGTGTTTCGTTCCTCGAGATGTTCATGTTTTTTGCAGTCTACTCTTTCAGGAGAGCCACAAGAGGCGGAAGAAAGACCGCCTGGTGTTGGACGATGCGATCCGGGAAGCCCGGCAGGAGGCGGCTACAGCTCCGTCGGCGCTCAAGAGAGTGGGGCCAGTGCAAGCGGGGGTCAGTCAGAGCGCCGGATTTTGCAGGATCCTGTAGGGCCAGGGTTGCTCCGACCCGGGCTTGCGTGTAGGATCCTGAAGGTTCTTGCAGGATTCGAACGGGAAAAACGCCATCAACATAAATTTTCGGCGCTCCGCGCGGATTTCTTGGATCGGCGCCTGGGCTCCCCTGCGGTGCCTCCGCGCGCCAGCGAGGGGGGTCCAGTGCAGATCCAAGAAGTCCGCGCGGAGCGCCAACATTTCATGTTTATGTTTTTGTTTCTTCTCATCGCCGAGCGCGTTCATAGACTAGCAAAGTGCATACTTACTCGCAAACGTCCTGAAAACCATGCGTCTGCCTTTGTGTAATATATCGTAAATGCCCTGCGGCGGATCCAGGCCCTTTGCGAGTAGTGGAACGCGCTTGTCTATCGCAGGATCCCGCATGATCTTGCAGGGCCCGACTGGCCCGGGTTTGCATCGTCCAGGGTCAGTACGTCTCCGACTCCGACGGCGCAGTGGGCAGGAAGAGGAGGAGGAGGAGGAGGAGGAGGAGGGGATAGAGGGGGAGGAGGATAGGAGGAGGAGGAAGAGGAGGAGGAGGAGGAGAAGGGGCAGGAGGAGGAGGAGGAGATGGAAGAGGAGAGAAGGGGGAGGTGGGAGGAGGAGGAAGGAGGAGATCAACGGAGCCATAGAGAGGGGAGACGGTTGCCCCCTCCCCGCGAAGCCGCGCGCAGCGCTCACAGCGTGCGGGCGCACGGGGGTCCTGCCTCACGGGGGTCCTGACGGGGCAGGACCCCCGACCGTGATGACGAGCACGACCATGCCGACGAGCACCACGATGTCCGCGGGAGGGGGAAGGGGCGAGGGCCCTGCGCGCGTAGCGGCGAGGCCCCTACCGCCCCCCCCCGCTGCTCCTCCCGCGGCCGGCCGCCCCGGGCCCCGGACCACCGCCGCGTGGACCATCACGCGGAAGGAGGCCCCCAGCAGCCAGGGCCGCGGCGTCGGCGGGGGACACGCCCGCGGCGAAGGCCTCCTCGAGGAACGCCTTTATGCCCGCCGCGCCGCCGCAGCCCGCCGCCGCAGCGGCCACGGCGGCGGCAGGAGGACGCGGGTCCTCCGCCGCCACCGTGTCGGTGCGCCGCAGCTGCCTCCGCGCACGGCGCGGCGGCAGCTCGTCAGCCCACTCATCGTCGACGACGTCGACGACCATGGGGAGCTGCACGAGCTCGAGGCCAGCAGCGGCGGCGGCACCGTCAGCAGCGCCTCCACGCCCAGCGTCGGCCGCGTTGGCCGCCCCGCCGCGCTCCGCCGCCCGCCGCGCCGCAAGGCGCTGGCGGCGGCGTCGGCGGCGCTCGACCTTCGCGGCGGAGCTGCGCGGGGGCGCATCCGCATCCTCGGCGCGCGCAGCACCAGCGGCGGGCGGCGGCGCGGGTGGCGCGGTCCGCGCACGGAGCGCGACCGCCGCCACAGCGCCAGCCACCGCCGCCACAGTGCGGCGCGGCGCCTTCGCCTCCACAGCGGCGCGGACGGCGGCCGCCAGCAGGGCGACGCCGTCCACCGCAGCCGAGGGGGCCCCTCTAGGCCGAGCCATCGCGCGGGGCGGACGGCGGCGGCCAATGCGATCGCTTGAGCCAAAATGGGAGGAGGAGGAGGAGGAGGAGGAGGAGGAGGAGGAGGAGGGGGAGGAGGATGGGGGTAGGGATGGCAAGTGGCAGTGCATAAGCATGTTGGAGTGCCTGTCTGTGGTGTGCCTTGCGTAGCTCGAAGAAGAACAAGCGGCATTTGCGCTAGCCCCCCTCCCCCCGCTGCCTGTGGCGCGCGGCGCGGATTTCTTGGATCCGCGCTGGGCCCCCCTGGGAGGAGGAGGAAGAGGAGGAGGAGGAGGAGGAGAAGCATGAGGAGGACGGGGTGGAGAACGAGCATGGGGAGCAGGAGGGGCGGTGAGGAAGCAGGAGCAGGCGGAGGAGCAGGTTCAGGTGGAGGAGGAGGTTCAGGTGGAGAAGGATGAGGAGGAGGAGGTGGAGGAGGAGAAGGAGGATGACGAGGCCGGGCCAGGGGAGGACATCGGAGTAGACGACGTTGACCATGCGGTGGATGAGGGTGTAGGAGGATGTGGACGAGGATGTGGAGCGGGCGCAATAGCAGGGCACGATAGGGTAGGAGCAGCACGAGGTGGTGAGAAGGGCGAGGGACAGGACGAACGGATAGGAGGACGATGAGGTTCAGGACGAGGAGCACAAGGCCGAGGTGGTGGACAATACTGGGTAGTTGGAGGAAGACGAGACGCAAGTGCAGGACGATGCTGTGAAGCGGCTGTTGGGCGTCAATGAGAGGACCGAAGACGAAGGACATTCACAGCGATACATGTGTATACAGGGGTGTGTACATATAAAGAGAGAAATAGAGAACGAGAGAGAGAGAGAGGGAGAGAGAGAGAGAGAGAACAAAGAGAGAGAGAGAGAGATAGAGAGAGGGAGAGAGAGAGAGAGATAGAGGGGGAGAGAGAGAGAGAGAGAGAGAACACGAGAGAGAGAGAGGAGAAATTGAGAGTGAGAGAGAAACAGCGATACAGAGATAGAGAGAGCAAGAGAGAGAGAGAGAGAGAGACAAGGTGGGGCCTCCTCCACACTCGTTGCCGTATCCCCTCCATCATCCATCCCCCCTCCCCCTGTATCCCTCCCCTCCTCCCCTCGATCACTGCACCACTCCCATCCCCTCTTCCGCCCCGCCTTCTCATACCTTCTCAGATGCTGCCTTCCTTCTCGACCTCCCTCTTGGTTCTGCACCTCAACCATCGCGACCTCTGGGATCACTCGCACCGTGCGCTTTCGCGTCGGGAAAGCTTGGGCGCTCTGGTGCCGGGCTTGAGGTTGGACATCCCTATCGAATTTGCTTCCAGTAGTGCCGATCTGTCAGACCTCTGCAGAGCTGCTGCTCCATCATCGACCTCCTTTTGCACTGCGCTTTCATCTCACCTTATCCTTCACCCATGTCTACACACATATATATATGTATGTATATATACATACAAATGTGTACATATATGATTGCGAACCTTATGCTGATAGATCTCGCAGGTGGAGGCCGGGAAGATCGACTCCTTCAGGGCCATGGAAGGCTTGCAGCACGTGAACAGGACGGGAGGAGGAGGAGAAGGCGGAGGAGGAGGAGGAGGCGGAGGAGGAGGACGAGGAGGAGGAAGAGGGGGAGGAGGAGGAGGAATAGGAGGAATAGGAGGAATAGGAGGGGATTGGGAGGAGGAGGAGGAGGAGGAGGAGGAGGAGGAGGAGGAGGAACAGGAGTCTTCCCGACCGCTCGGTGGGCTCAGACCCCGTCTCAGTGCAGCCGCTCCGATGCGGCCCCGGCTCCGCTCGGAGGGCATGCTGGAGGCCATCATGGCCAGCGGGGCGGGGGGGAAGCGAGCAGTGGCGAAGCGTCCTGGCTCGCCTATAGCCCTACCAAACAATGTTCTAAGAACCTTGTGTGGTTTCCACGAAATGTTCTCAGAGCATTTCTGGCGGAGGCTGTCTTGTTTTATCACATCGGGCTTATGCTATAAGAGCATTGCTTTTGTTATAAGAACATGCTTGGGTTCAAAGAAAATTTCGTGGTAGGACTGTGGGAATGCCGGGACGGTCGGTCCCTGCTCAAAGGAAGCGAGAAGGAGATGGCCTTCCCCTGGAGGCGGCGGGGCTTCTCGGAAGCCCACGTGCCTTCTGAGAGGTTCTCCCTGTCTTCGGGGAGGGCTCAGAAGGCTTCTCGGAGGGCCGGGGGACCTCCGAGCCTTCTGAGGAGGCCCGCCCTTCCTCACTTCCCCCCGGGTTCGCCGCCCGACATGATAGTTTTCGAGGCCAGCTTGGGCTACAGTCGAGGCTGACTAGTAGGTCGACCCTGCCAGATCGAGCGCACCCCTTGTGTCCTGTGTGTTCGCGACCCGTGCCTTCCTGCATTCCTGTGGCAGAGTGGCCCTCGGAAGGGTCCTGTGTCCTCTCAGGTCGGGTGTCCTCGCCATTTAGCCCCGACTGCATCTGGAGCCCTTGGAGCCATCTCGGGTCCAGAGGGGACGACCGCAGGACGCCTCGCGACACCCACCCGTCCAGACCCAGGGGGGAGGGGGGATGGGAGCCCCTCCCCCAAGGGTTGGGATGCTCCAATTTCCTTGTAGCCTTGATCGCCCGACAGAATGTTCGAGCACCCCAGCAGGCATCCCAACTGGGCGGTTTTCACGTGTCGGGCCATGGGAGGCGATGTTCGATGGGCATTTCGCCGGCGTGTCGGGCAGACACTGCTTCGATTCTTTTCGGGCTGCTCTGACTGAATTCTGGGATGCAGTCCTGAAGCACGATGGGAACAACATAACCCAATGGGGGAGAAGGGGGTTGGAAGAGGAAGCGCTGCAGACCGACTCCGCCCAGAGGGCTGGTGGGATTTCGCTCCGTCGTCGTCGATCGCGGTTTTCGGCGTTTCTGATGATTCCGTGGCGTTTCTGTTGTCCCCCCCCGCCAGTGGGCTCTTGGGAGGTTGTGGGGGCACAGGAATTACACTTCCTCTGCAGGGGCGGCGGATGAGGTGAGTTCGGGAGTTCGCAGAGGGGGTTTCGCCCAGGATGGGGTCAGGGAGCGAATCCAGCTTGAAGCTGGTGACCCCCTCTTCCAGGGGCCGCCCAACGTGATTTTCTCCCCCGAGGAGGGGGGTGACAACAGCGCTCCCCGGCCCTCTCCTGCGAGGCGCTGGCCGTCTTGAGACGCAGCGGGCGTCGGAGAGACACCCCCGTTGTCTGACGCGCCCCTGCGTCGAGGGACGTCGCCCCCCCCCCCCAGGGGGCATCCCCGAGCTGGGCCCCAAAGAGTGCCGTCCAGCCACTGCCCCTCGGGGGCAGCGATACACCTTAGGCGATGCTTAAGAAAACCCAAGTTTTCGGCCAGAGTCTCGATTATTCTTAATGTTTCAATGTAAATCCTAAGATTTGAATAGACATTCTGGGTTTTTATTCAAGTTCTGAGACTATGAATTTCTTAACCCATGATTTCTTAAGCATTTCGCAGGGTGTAGGGGGGATGGGCACAGGGGGGATGCGTCCCCGATCGCCCACGGATCGCCGATGGGGGCCCGACAGCCCCGACCTGCACAGGAGGGCGCGGACGCACTCTCGGGGGCCAATCGCCGATGTATCGCCGAGTCCAGGTCGAGGCCCCCCCCCCCTGTGCCAGTCCCCCCCCCCCCTGTCGTTGCCCCTCACTCCTGGGGACCCCGTCTTGAAACAAGCACGATGTCGGAGCTCCGGGTTTTGGCGCGAGTCCAAGACACCCGCGCGGACCGTCGAAAGTTTAGGTGCTGCAGGTTGTTGTCCCTCCCCTGTCGTTGCCGTGGCATCGCTGGGGCGTGTGCTTTGCTTTTCTCGGCGAGGGCCATCGAGGAGCATCCTGGGCCATCGAGCAAACAGCCACGCACGAAACCGAACAATGCACGGGGGATGGACGGCCGAGCGATGGCAAGTTGCCCCTCGACCCCCCCCGCGCGTCGTCGGGAAGGCGCGGGTCCCCCGCGCCCCCACCTCCCCCACGACAGAGGGCCGGCCTCTCGGCGCTGCCGCCGTCTTCCGCCCTCGCCCGCCCAGGCCTGCCAGGGGGGAGGGGGGAACGAGGCACACAGGCACGAGTGATCGTCGACTCCCAGGAAAAAAAGCGTAGGGGAAAAGATGGGAAGTGGGGGGGAAGACGAAGAGCCAGAAAATATGGGAGAATATGTGGGGAATCCTGTTATTTGTGTCTATCTATTTGTGTGTCCCAGGGCCCCTTTACCCCTTACTATAGGGGGAGGGGGGAGGGGCAAAAAAACGCCCCCGAAGGGGCGGCACGAGCTCGCCCCGCCGTCGTCGATCGAGCGTTCTGGTGATTCGAGCGTGTTTTGTGGGCACCCCCGTCGGCGCTTGCCCATCCGAAACGCTCACGGGTTTTTGCAGTCGATCGCAAACACGGATCGAGGGGGCGTGGATTAGCGGCGGGTCCCGGTCCCGTGGGGACTCGCGGATCTCCGCCGCCGAGCGAGACAGCACCAGCCGCATTTTGGGGAGGGCACCTCCCCCGATCCACGGATTCGGCGACCGCGCGCCAAATCCATGGATTGCTTGATGTGCCTGTTTTCCACCACCACCGCCATAAATTGGAGGGAGGAAGGAGGAGGACGAGGAGGAGGAGGAGGAGGACGAAGAGGAGGAGGAGGAGGAGGTGGTGGAGGAGGAGGAGAAGGAGGAGGACCCCCTCTCCCTCCAACTTCCTGGTGGTGGTGGTGGAAAACATGTCCATCATCGCTAATCCATGTTTGCGCGCCCCCGATTTTTTGTGGGTCGCGGGATCCCTCCCCGGCCCTTCTGCGTCAGAGGGCCCGGTTCGGCGCGGGCCCGGCCCCGCGGCCCTCCCCCGGGCGAAAGGATCCTGGGCCTGTCGCTGCAGAGCGGAATCGTGACCTCCGCGCTGCTCGTCCAGGTCAGCGCGCGCGCCGCCCCGCTGCGGCAACCTCTCCGATCGACGACGGCGACGACGACGGCGACGCCGACGGCGACGGCGACGGCGACGGCAACGGCGGCGACGACGACGACGACGACGACCTTCATGGCCACGACGACGACGACGAGGAGGACCAGGAGGACTAGGACGAGGACGACGAGGAGGACGAGGAGGACGAGGCGGACGAGGACGAGGGCGGACTCGTCGCTGGCGGCGGCGGCGTCGCCGTCCTGCGCTTCGTGCTCCGCCTCGCTCCCAGTCCCCGCCATCCGCGTCCCCGTCCTGCGCCTCCGCGGCCCCGTCGCGTGCGCGTCCCGCGGCAGCGCTGCTGGCATCGCCGCCGTGCCAGCGCGGCAGCGCAGCGTGAGCTTAGTGGGCCCTGGAAACGACAGGGCCGCTTTTTTACCGTTTCGTTT